AGAGAGAAGAGGAGAGAGAGAGAGAGAGAAGAGAGAGAGAGAAGAGAGGAGAGAGAGAGACAGATGACAGAGACAGAGACCAGAGGACAGAGAGAGAGAGAGAGAGACAGAGAGAGAGAGAGAGAGAGAGAGAGAGGGAGAAGAGAGAAGAGAGAGGAGAGCAGAGAGAAGAGAAGAGAGTAGAGAGAGAGAGAGACGAGAGGAGAGAGACAGAGAGAGAGAGAGAGACAGAGAGAGAGAGAGAGAGACAGAGACAGAGAGAGAGAGACAGAGAGACAGAGACAGAGAGAGAAATGAGTGTGAAATGAGACACACACAAACAAAACACACTACACACACACAAATTTGGATTTTTTCTCTTTTTATGATGAAGGTGCCTTACAATTTGATAAGTAAGCATCCATGCCAATACTAGTTTCCTTTAATCTATAAAAAATTATATACATACCCCCCTCTCTCCCTTCTGTCTGTCTCTCCTTCTCTCTTTCAGTGCATATTTGTGTGTGCGAGTGTGAGCGCATGTGTGTGTGTGTGTTTCCACGTACTGTGTGCTGCATGTACTGTGCTGTATGCTGTATGTCATGTGTGATGTATATTGTATGTTCTGTGTTGCAAGCTGTATATGGTGCAAATTACATGCTGTATGTAGTAAGTACTGTTACTTGTATGCAATGTGTATTGCATGTATTACGTTGTATGTGTTGTACATTGTTTTATGGTATATGTGTTGTGTACTGTATGTGGTATACCTTGTATGCTTTTATGCCGTATGTCTTGTGTGCTGTATCAGTTGTGTGTACACAGGAGTATGTGTGCACACATACTTGCACCCCAATCAATGTTCAGCAGTGCCAACAATAGAGGATTTGGCCAGCATATATGTTCAAGAGTCGTGAATTTGATATATGTGCAGCACTGTTTTGGCAAGAAGAAAGATATCAAAAAAAGTAATAATTCTAGTTTTGCTCTTTCTTACTTTATGATAAAGGATAGCCCAAGTCAGCCCAGGACAGTGTACTGTCTGATGTATAGTGACATTCCAAAAGCAAAAATGCCAATTTTCTTTCTAATCACGTAGCCATCACTGAAAAAAATACTTTCATCATGTCTTGCTTTCCTTCTAACATTCAATATGAACTGTAGCCGAAGTTTTTATCAAAAACGGTTTCTCTGACAAGTTTCCCGAAAGCAATGGAGAAAGACCCCTCAGAGTCATTTCAGAACTTACTGCTAGCTGCTGTTCTATTCGCCGTTGACGGTGTGATGTTAGAAGCCCTGCCTGTGAGGTTTAGTGTTGACGCCCCTATCTTAGAACGAGCCAGGTTTGTCTTGGACCCGTTACGTTCCCTGAGACCACTCACGGGTAAGCTCGCCATTGACACAGACCTGTTAAAGCAATGCAAGCAACATGAATATTTAGATGGCGGGAATGCAAGACAAGTAAATGACTTTCCGAGATTACACCTCCATCAGAATTACATGAAGATGTAATGCAGAAACAAAACCTGTCACAATGAACTGTTCATCTTTCATATGAGATCTGATAAGACATTGTTCAAACTTTTCTAAATCTGAAGCCTAATAAAGATACAGGTAAATATAAAATAGATTTTTTTGTCTAATTGGACCTAAAGCCCTGCCTGTAGTTACACATGAATGAGAGTTGGCATACCTTCTCAACTTCCCTGCAGGAGCTGAAGGCTGACGGGACAGGCCACGACGTGCGGGAGGGGGCATGTCGGGAACTGAATCTTCTGAATCTATAAAATGCAAAAATATAACCAAATAGTAATAATAATCTACTTCCTTTATACATATCACAAAGAGAGAGATAAGACAGATCAATACAGTCACTTCATATAGACAGATCATAACAAGGTAGACTGAAAATATAAATCAAAATGCAAAAAACAAACTAAAAAGAGCTTACAAAAAACAATATCATGCCTCAGTAATTACCTGTCGAGCCCACAGAAGATGCACTGAGTCTGGTCTTCTTCTCAGGTGATCCTGGCAGCTCTCCGCTGCTGGCCTGCCTCTTCATGGCTGAACCTGGGGTTCGCAGGCGTGTGGGCTGCGGCAACTTAAGGCGGCTGGAAGGTGTTGGTAGTTTTGACATCCTGCCACTTCTGCTGAAAAAATGGATAATAATTCTAAGAGTATTTTTCTTTTCTTTTTTGTAATATTAACATGTGATCTAAAATTACAAAAAAATGTGGAGGCGATATTCTGGATATGCACATGCATGTTCTCACTTCTTGTAAATTGTTTTTCAAATTCTAGTTCCTATCATCACCATCCTTCATTGTCTTTATCTAAAAACTCAAAATGGCAACATCTTACAACTATACATACATATCCTGTTCACATCCATGACATCAAATAAAATTCTTTGTCTTAAAACAGTATCGCCATGCCAAAAATAACAAAGCATAAGTGGATAATAAATATTTTATATATATATAAAAAAAAAAAAAAAAAAAAGTAATAAGGTATACTAGAGGGGAACTGAAATCCCATCTGGGTCGCTGGTAAACAGAACACCACAATCAAAAGCTATTTCATGCAAAAGTTTCATCTTTCATCTCTGATTTAGATGTCACAAAATGAAAATAAAAACTATACAGAGTTCCTACCATAATAGGTACCTCATGCCAATACCATGTTTCTCAAGCCTTCATCACTCCAGTATAAGACAATAAACCTCCGCAACATATGATCTGGTAAGTCTGAACTTAAAAGTCACGTTCAACAAAATACTACTAGGGAAGTCTAAAAGCAATGAACACAATGGTCGTGCTCACATTAATTCATATTATATTTGAAAATCTCCTGCCCACTTGCTTTCTA